TGGATATCTGGCCTCCACATCACATACCGCAACGGTTTTGGACATGGTGCAAAGTTGGTTTTGTTCTATTCGATGAACGATAAATTGGCAATTATGCTCGCTTAAAACATTCTTTATTTAGTCCGATTTTTTGACCCCGATCGATGCCGATTATCTGAAGAGCTTTAAGCAGAACCTTCTAGATAAGTACAGTGCTGAAGAGCTTAAGGAGTACTACGTTAATGGTAGGTTCTATCTGAAGAAGATAATTTTTCACTACGAACATAGATCGTTTGAAGATGATTGGATTGCTTTTGCTGGTTACAAACTTTTCATCTGTTTTACCTTTAGAGGCAAAGCATTGAGTTAAGTTTAGATAGATAAGAAAGTGTGGGGTCATAGGCTACTTCCGCGGACATGCATGGATCATGTGATGCAATGTAGCATTGCTCCATTTACGGTGTAGAAAGTGTGAAGGCATTGTCCAGCCAGTTTCTAATTTCGACCTTTCACGCGCCTAAAACCATTTCGGTATGCTGGTTCTGAATGAAACTTCATTTATTCTGAATATTCAAAAATGATCTTCTGCTCTTTTTAGCTACTGGGGAATTGCAGGGGCTGAGTATTTTTGACTTTCCTAGCCAAGAGTATTTTTTAACGAGAAAGGCAGGCGATCGTTTTCATTTTGAAATCGCAACAATAAGCTGAAATTACTGTTTTTGTAGTACTAGCGCAATCTCAGCATATCAAGAAGCAATTGGGCGTTTATCGTCATTATGCCCTGCCTCCACGATAACTCACCTTCAATTCGTTTTAAAAACCTGAAACACTGTTCTCTTGGTGTGTTGTTGACGTATTCTCAAGTTGTTCAGCCTATCAATATGCTTCACTGCTTCTACTAATAAAACTTGCAGTGAAAAGGAGTGATGGTTCGCAAGGGTGAGAACCTAATGGTGGTGAATAGTCCTCTGCCTGAAGCCACCGGTTGCAAAGCCAAAGACGACCAGTGGCTGCAAGTCATCCCTCAGGTCGAGAGAAACTAGAGACCATCGCTTTTTGATATTCTCACACCAGCTGAACTCTATATCTGTGTTTAGCACACCGAAATAGTGCAAAAATGGTGAAATCTCGAAATCGAAATTTTGTCGAATACTGCTCTTAACTTGGGTCAGTCTCCTTGCGATCAGTACTCGGTTGCCAGTTGTAGTCAGCAATGGTAGTAAAATAAAATCCAGTCAGTATTATTATAAACCATCGTATAATCCTTGATCCTAAATATTTGCATTATTGGAAGTTATGGTGAGAAGAGTATTTTCTTCTTTGCTCTTAATCTCAAGGCGCATGTTAATTTCTATTGTTTCTTTTCAAAGTCTAAATAGCAAAAGTTGAGGAGCGAGCTATTCAAGTTCAAAACATTGGTTGTCAGAGTTGCACTTATTTTTCTCTTTGGATATTGTACTTAGATTATTAGTAGGAACAGTGCGCGCTTCTATTTTTATTGGCTGTTTGCCAAACATGATTCCAAAACTATGAGTCCTTGCAGATCTCATGCTTGATATATCGCATATTATTGTCATCAAGATTAGCTAAAGAAGTGTTGCAAAACACTTCTTGAAGGTAAAATAGGTGGATTAGATTTTGGGCCCTAATCATCCGAGATTTTAAAAGTTGTCAGATTTGTCTCATAAGCAAGGTCGCAAATTTGTTGTAATGGTAATCGGGAAAAGAATTCGCTTCAATTCGATTTTCTGTGGCATAAAATTCTAGATTTTTAGTTTTTCCTAGAAGAGACTTGTTGCAACAGAATCACGAATCCAGGTGTGCAGTTTCCATGGAGCATATGAATTAATGATTTAGCCTGTGGTTTCTAGGTTACGGAACCTTCAAATGCAGTAATGTGTTCAATCTTTGCAGCTAGCGAAAAATATCACGAAACCGCATTTTTTTTTTGCATCAGCTTTCAAATGATGTACGTTTCAAGAAATTTTTTTTTCAGAGCCGTGGAAGTATCGCAAACGCCAACGAGCACGCCTTGCTTCCGGTGATACAGCTAGTATACGCACAAGAAGAAAGTCTAGCATTGACGGTCCTTACGCTGAAAAGAAGCAAGAGCAGAGGAGAGAAAAAGAGGAGAAGAGGTAAACGCATATCTTCTCCGAATCACTCTAACCTTTATCATTTTTTTACCATTGTTTTTTCTTTGCTGCTATATATCTCCCTATCAAGGGCCTCACTAACATCTGCATCGCGCCTTCCTCGCGTACCTGACACTAAATTAGCTCCGCTTATCAGCGATGTTGTTTCTGCGGCTAATCGAGAATCCTTGCGAAAGGAAGATTTTACGACACCACCATCTCGTCGACTATCGTTACGTATGCATTCTCGAGATGATGGTGAAGAGGAAAGAAAAAGTAGGTGTTCTGGCTTATCAGTTTGTTACAAAGATCTTTGTTTCTGATAATGTTGATCATTTAGTCTCCATTAAAAGTGAGCCATCCGATTTATGCATACATGAAACTAGCGATGGAATGTCCGTCGATGTAGCACACCATTCCAATGGTTTCTCATCGCGATCTCCAATGAGTTCTCGATGTGGGTATAATTTAATTGTATGTGGCGCACAAACGTCCCTGACATCATGGATGCTGAAGTTGAAATTGTTCCAAAGTTTATATTTCAGTGTGCTCGCCAAGGATCAAGAAGGAGTCGAAAGAAGAGGACTGGGACCTACCTGGGCCCAGTAGTTCCCACTGCAATCTCTCTAATGGAAGATGCAATGGAGAAGTAAAGAGCAGGTTGAGGCGCAATGGAGAGGTAATCTTCTATCTCTGTCATCTTGTGCTTGTATTGTGGTTATATTTAGTCAAAACGTGAGAATGGCGTTCATCCCAGTTTATCCTCCAAGATTCTCTCTCCTTCGTCGTCTGCCATATCCAGTGTTTCCGAAGAAAGTGAAATTGAACGGCACTATCGAGAAATTGGTAGCCGTATTGTCAAAATGCTTGTGGAAAGAGGTAACTTGCTTTTTCATTTTGAATTGCCTAATTTTTATTTTTCATAGGTTTAATCCCTTCTTCAACTGAACACGTGTATCGTGAAATTGCGACGAGCTCTGTTGAACATGATCTGGTTGTTAGTCATGAAGGAAAGGAAGACGATGATGAGTCAGATTTGGTATGTTCATGTTTTTGTTCGCTCTTGGTGGTATATGCCTGCTTTCACGTATTATGGGCATGCGCAGAGCGGTTTAACATCATATAAAGCTACACTTTTAGCTGTGCACATTGTTTACGTATTTCTAGTAGAGCTGCTATATTTAAGCTTGTGTTTATAAACAACAGTGTTTTGCATTTCGAATGAAAAGGCACTGTACGCGAAAATTCCACACTTATCCGTATTTACTTGATCAGATCGTCTAATTAAATGTTTTAACTGCATGGTTCTCTGTGCAAATGTCCTGAAGTCTTCAGTAAATCTAAAACAGTTTTTGTGCAGTACTAAATCGTTTTATCTGCACTATCCAGATATGCCTAGCAACTCTTGAGTGCTAGTTCGCAACCTAATTTTTTTTTTGTCCAGGATGAAGTATCGGAGGAGCTTCTCCGATGCCAAATGGAGTTGCAAGAGTTGGAGCCACGTTTGCGAGGCGTTATATCCCATTGTTGGAGCAAGGTTCGTGGAGACTTCGCTTATTGGGAGACAGCCAAGCAACTGGATGACGCCGATACTGACGTATGTTTCTTTCGTTTGAAACATCATCTTTGGCTTTTCTTCAAACAGGCAATGCAAGAGCTGGACATTTCTATGCAAATCTCTTCGCTGTTTTTGAATCATTGCTTTCAAAAAAGAGCGCATTTGATCTAGCATCTATGAATTTTTTATAGAGCTTATAAAATTAGCTAGCTGCTAAATTAGCAATTTAATTAGGTTTCATGAGTAGTCTTTCCTTCTTATGGTCATCTTGTGAACTTTTTGAGAAGCAGGTACTATTTAATGCCAAATTGAAGGCGCGTAAGTCCCTTACGCTTAGCTGCTAGCATCTATATTTTGAGCTTAGAGAGTATTCAGTACAGTTAGAAGATGACGCTTTGATTTTTATCTCAGCTAGACCTTCCTTATGAAAGTGCTATGTCTACAGACACCCTACAGATAACTCTTCCATTTTCATGCATATTTACATAATATGAAATTCCGTTTTTTTTTTCCTGAATAGCATTCTGACATTTTTGATGACCTATCCTAAATTTTCTTCTTTCTCATGTTGCCTTCTCTAACATTTTCAATCTTAAACTGTAAAAAATGTCAATAGTCCGCAAGGCACGTCAGTTAGAGGTATATGGTCCTCTAGCTTTTTTTTAGTTTCCAATGAAAGCAAATCTGTTCTCCTACAGCAGCGTTAGAAGCGAAGGTAGACACATTGTGGTTCCCGCTAACTTCGGAGGGAGATTAAACCACTCACAGCTTCAGCTGCGCAGACTTTAATGTACTTACAGAATTCGCTGCTTAGACATATTTGCACAATGCGCGAACGACAGGGCACTGATTGTGGAACGCAGAACAAATGGCCCATTGTCTGCACGGTGAAATGTGCTGTTACCGTGATCAACTGGTGTTTTACACACTTCATAACAACAAAATCAACCTTTTGGTTATTCATATCTTGCAGTTTTTTTTGATTTCTTAATCCAGATTGTAGGCGGAAGGTTTAAAATTCCCATTTGCTAATTAGTGTAGTGCATCCAACTAATCAATGAAAAGTCGTATTACATGGTATGATTTCTCAGTCTGCCACCAAATTGGTAAAAGTTCGTGAGACCTATGGCGCGCGAATGTTTTTAATATAGCGACTAGGCTTTAGGCCTCTATTCGCCATTCTGAAAACGAGTATATTGTTACAGTTAGGTAGAGAATAGTGCAAAGTGACAGAGATATTGTCTCAAAAATTTCGGTTTTCAGTTGTTCCGACTTGGAGTCAACATGTACCGTGATCTTCCAGTCCGCCGTGTACCGACGAGTACTGAGCTGCCTACGTTACGTACAGCTTTACGGAGGCGTAATCATAAGGCACGGCAGCATTATGGCTGCATGTATAAAAGGTTACGAAAATATCGCAAAAATACCACTAGTAAGTAGAAATGCTGTGAATGTTTCACAAGTTATTACGTTGTGTCACTCGCGTGGCGCTTATAGGATGTTCTCTTTTTGTTCATGTTAATAATCTGTATCACGAAATCTTCATCGCTGTAATTTTTTTGAATTATTGAGTATTCTTTCGTACAGGTTCTTCCGGAACGAGTTTGTGTGGTTCTTAATTGCTCCATAAGACTATCTTGTCATTTTTTTGGCTAACGGGCCTACTTCCAATGTTGAAGCAGTTTTCAAAAGGCACACGAAACTATACTTATAAAAACACCTAGATTGACAGTTTTTATTTATTTAACACCTAGATTGACAGTTTTTATTTATTTCTGACTACAAGATAGGCTCAATTTCTTGTAGATGTTTTCAAATTTCTTGCATAGTTGTTTGAGACATCAAGAGGTTTTTTTGCTTTCTATCGAAAGAACTCACATTTTTTTTCATGCAAATTTTGCTAAAACATCGTAACGAAGAATTCAAGTACCATGGAGTCATTTATAATTTACTTTGTGGTATCAAAGAATGACAGAAGGAGAGATTTTGACGAAATCCCTTTAATTCATAGGTTGTTTTGCATCATCCAGTCAACTACTGATTTATGTCATGCAATAGCTGTAAAGTGGTCATTCAAAAAAAAAAGACCTTTCCTTCATTCTTGAATCGTTGTTTAATGAATCATTATGGATCTCCATGTGACCTTTTGTTCTCGGTTTCTAAGCTCTGTTCGAATTGTAGGTTAATCTCGAGCTTATTCCCTGCACTGTGGATAGGTCAGACTATGCGTAAACAATCCCATTTCAACTACTCAGTCCTTCTCTGATTAGGTTGTATTTAATTATTAAATAATATTAAACTGGCTATTTAAGCTATTAAGTTTTAAGCTATTCATCATGTTTTGATCACCTTATGGCTCATTCTTTCGTTGTTTGTTTTGACCTCGTCATATTGTACTATAATACTGTCACTTTTTTCTGTCATGTACCCTTTATTGTGATTTCGAAAAGACTATCTTTTCTTTAATACAGCAAAAGTACTTTGCAGTGTGTTCATATACTGCACAACTAGGTGCTGATCTCTTTTTTCGTAGAAACTTTTTTAATATGTAGAATTGATATAAAATCAGTTGATGTTTATCACTTGTATCTGTACATATTTATACTTTTTTAAAAGTAATTGGTCTTGTAATAAATAGCCTTATTTTGATACTGTTGCATTGCAGGGTCTTTGTCCAAGATTATTTCAAGTGTGTTCCAAAATTCTTTAGATGTAAGCCACTTCCTGTTCCGACACCGCTGAGTCGCAAGTGGCCATACGGTTCAAATGGATGATTGCGACTAAGCAGTATCGGAGCAGGAAGTCGTTGAGATGGTTTGTATGATCGCAGCTTTTGTA